CCTCAAACCTCTTGGCTCATAATATTCTTGATGGACAGGTTTAATACCCCTTGAACGGCATTTTATGCAAACTTTTTCCTTCATCCTCTGATATTGGCAAAGTTTTAACTCAATAAAACTTTCTTAAATGACACTATGTTTCCAAGGAGGCTGTTTATGTAAAGAGCCAAAAAAGTACATGGTAGTTCAGAAGTAAATGTGTTGTTATCAAGCTGGCTTTTATTAAATGATGCTACAAGTCTTGTGACTTCTTTTCAAACATGGCAAAATGTTGTCTTAGGGAAGTACAATGAATAAAATTAGTATCTATTTATCCATATTAACATTAGAATTAGGTCATTACAGTATAAGTTGTTACCAACTGTTGGTAAACACAATCATATTGTGCTGTATCTTATTGTTAGTATAACAATTAGACCATATTATGGTCTTTGTAAGCCTTCCTTATCTAATTTATTTATTTACTTGGTTAGCATTCTCCATTTCTATTCATGAAAACTCATAGATCTGTAAAATAAACAAAAATACGTTTTGACTTGAACAACAAAATTCAGCAAGCAAACAAGGTACACGTACCTAAAATTGTGTATGTATTGGCACTTTGTAAATAACGTTTGTTTTATTGTCTCAATAAGACACTGTATTTATTATTTAACAAATTTAATTATTTATTAATAACAAATTTATTTATTAACAAATGGATACTACATTTCCTAATAAGTTTCAAAGGTCATCTCCGGTGACATAACAATTATAGTAAAATCACCCTTTTTTGTCTGATATAAAGTTAAAACTAATTAATAAAAATTTTAGTTGTTTTTCGATATATTACGTAAATATTTTACAGATTACAAAAAATATTAAATATATGGGAGGTTTTCTACTCGTATTGTTGATATAAGTTCAATTAAATTTGTTAGGCTGATCATCTTGACCACCTCAATTTCAAACATACTTTCTCTAGAAAAAAGGGATACTGACAAAATTTTTGTTTTGTTGGATATTCATTAGGAATACAAAAGACAGCCAATTATTTCAATTTACTTAGTTAAGCTAAAATAGTGGATTGGTAAAGAACTCAAAAAAGGAAGGGCAAATTAGTTAAGAAGATATCTTTTAAGTATATTCTTTGAAGATTTACTTCCACCAGTTTTCTTAACACAAGATATAAAGAGGCCATAACAATAACAATGCATCATAATAAGGAAGACGAACGTGATATGAGGATACCAAGGTTTTTAAACATGTTGCAATGTTTCTTATTGCAAATAATTACTACTAAGTTTAGTTCACTTTGTTGCAACAAAAGATTATGTATTAGGTTTTGTGTTTGTTTATGACATAGCAAAAAAATGAGTTTACTTGAGACAAGCCATAGTTGCAAAAAATATATTGCTCTCCTTTTCCCTCATAATACATTTCCTCCGTATTTTATATCTGTTGTTGTAAAAAATCCATACTCAATATATATACGCATATACACACACACATATATATATATACATAAGTTATATTCATACATAAGTCTCCTAATTATTTAAACAACGTTTAAGTTTCTGAAGGAGGGAATGACTCTCTTGTCTTATTTTTACTTAGAATGAAAAAGCTTTCACTTAGTACAGTACTAGGAATTGTTTTGAATTTTGTTTGATCCCCTAAAATTATAGCTAAAATATTTTATTAATTATTTTTTTGTTGTAAGATTTTGCTAAAATTACGATGATCTATCGCACGGCCTTTGTTTTATGCAATGATGACTTAATTATTAAACTGTTTTAAATTGCTTATACAGTTATTTTATTTCACATGTTTATGTAATTTATGATAATGTAATTGGTTGAAGAGTCAACTACCTCCATCAGCAAATGGCTTGAGGGTTTCAGATAAGACCATTTTTTTTCTTACCTTTAAAAAAATATTTCTCTGAGGGAACATAATGTTTTGGTCCATAAAAAAGCTGCACGACTCGCCGTATTTCAATCTACTCGAAAACTTACATTTAACTCGTATTTAGCTTAACACACACCATTATATTTAAATACCTTTTATGTGGTAATCTATCTGCATAAATATACGTATTGCAATCAGCTGTTTAAATTGTTAAATATGGTAATATTACGTATAACACTGTCTTTCAACTAATAAGTAGAAATATTATTAACATTGAATAAAATAACACTTCATTAACAGCTGATATTTAAAAATTAGCTGTTGTCATTTTCATAATAAAATTGTATGTAGATGTATCAAGCCCCCAACTAAAATAAATTGCTGATCTTCATCGAATACGTCATTTTTTTTAACCAGCCAAACTGGAAAAACAACCTGTTAATCACATAACTTTACAAAATTAATAAATAGTAAGGAAGAAAATAAAATGTTCATGGTACCCTGTTCGAGTATCATACAACAATGTTCTATTTGAATTACAAGTTACCCCTGGTCCCCACATAATAGAATGCCTTCATCAATATACAATATTCAATTGTAATAATTACTAGTCAAGTAATATTACTCATGCAGTATCATAGAATAGAAATTTTATAAATCAGCTGAGCGACATAAATATACATATCACCAAAACCTCACTAGATAGTCATTATAAATAACTAGTTGACCATTGATGCAACCGTTGATTGAAATTGATGTACCATTAGCGTTCAATGGTCCATACAGTTAGTATTCACAGTATAATAGTGGCCAGCAAAGTAGAATCTTCAGGCTTTGATTCCTAAGTTATTCCTCAGAATTTGCGTGTCTGAGGTGGAACTTGTTACAGCGTAATTTGCCAGAGAACTGTTATTCTCCACCAAACCTGTGATCATTCTTTCGTGCAACTCACCTTTACAATTCAACTTATTATTCAAAATGAATTTCAACTTTAAATAATGTCGAAATTGATCTGTTTTAAACCTTTTATAATGAAAGTTTTGTGATTAAACGTGTGTTACCATGCATTTCGACTATTGGTATGCATTGTCAGAGTAATATGTTATTATATTTCATAGCTAAAAGAAACTATTGTATGAAATCAGCCTAGAATGTACTGTTGTTTATTGGTGTTAAAGCCGTATGTTAAAAGAACAGGGGGAAAAGTTGTCCTCCAAAGATTTTAATAGTTTTGTTGCGATCGTTGTTCATTAATTGGCGTGATAATGTTTTCTCAGAAATGACAGTTTTTGTACTAGCTGATTTCTTTATATAAATATTCATTAGGTAATAAATGTACTTGCAAGTAAATCAATCAGCTAACTTGAAAAAAAAATCAGTTTAATTAAATAGATTGCATTTATTGTATTTAGCCTATTATCATTTGTATATTTACTATTGTTATTTAGTTAAACAATCAAATTGTAATATAATTCAACGAATAAACCAATCGAAAAAAAATAATTAAGATTGTGTTTCTTTATTAAGTATTTTTTGATGGATCTTGTTTTAAACATTTTTATCAGTTTATAGCATATGAAACGTTTTTACGTAAAAAATATTTTTTTTTATTCGTGGTATTCCGACGTATTCATGGAATAATCAAAACCATTGGGAATTCTTAGTTTACTGCCGATTTTAATCCAATTTAAGTTAAGCAATTTAATATACTGTATTTTACTATATTTTTATACTATGTTGTTTGTAATAAATGTTCGCGAACCAGCAAGATTGTATTATAGGAACCGGGTAAAATGGAATTTACAATTTTATCCCTTTAAAACGTGGAAATGGCCAATTTGTACTACTACCATTGTGTAAAGTAAACAAAAAAGATTGTATGTTGAAGTGTTGTTGTTGAATTAAATGTAATGGAGAAAACTAAAAAAAACGGTACTTTTTAATTCTCACGCTACCGATACTATCTTGGAGAAAAATAAAACTGTTAAAATTTACTTGAATATGTTGATCAAATTAGGCAAATATATCATTCTATACTATTAACATTTGGTCAAACAAGGTTTGTACTTTCCCTTTAGTAGCAAACCTAAGCACTTTTTTAAATCCAATGATATTTAAAAGGGAATTAAATGTGTCTTCTTTATGGAAATAGTTAAGTAAAATATTTAGACAAATTGAAATTCACCTAGTCTGCAGGTTTGCTGTGGTGGGGGGGGTATTGTTATATACATGAACTTGCTTAAATTTATGCTTCGCCATGGATCAATCAATTGCTGTATTGTTCTGCGTGGTGGTAATGTATTTATTTAGGATGCTCATCGTATCAATATTATCAACCACTAAGTATTAACATGTGGTATGTCCAAATCACATACTATCAATAATGAACTCATGTTGTGCATTCCACAACGCTATTGCGTAATATATGGTTAGTAACATAAGCTTAGCAATAATAATAAATAAACTAAACTTCATGTATAACTCTTCCTAAGCTTTTAAACCTTTACAAACACTTTAGAACCATTTCATCACAAATCATTTAATGACAATCGACCAAGTTATTTTTAATTTCATTTCGTTGGAGGTTCACGTTTTAACAGGGAGCTTATTGTGCATTATAACAGAGCAAATATAGACTACACAAGGATGTAAATATTGAAAAATAATAAATATTGATCTTTATAAATGTACGATTAACCAATGACATTGCAGTAAAATATATTAAATATGTGTATTATCTCTGTAGGGATGGTTTAAAACGCGTTGACAATAAAATAATTAATATTTACCTACGTCTGTTATCCGTATATACAAGATTTTTTACATGCAAATCTATTCAATCTTGCTTGTCTAACAGATGTTGTTGAAGAAGAATAAATTCAAAGTGGAATAGTAGAGATGTAAACCGAAATTATATCACGGAGAATTATTTCCTGAATATTAACCTTTCTTGACAATTTTACAATTAAAGTCAAAGATCTTTAGAAGGACGGACGGAACATACATGAAATGTCACTTTTAAGTGTTAAGCTAGTCATAATCAAATCCTAAGTGGGTACACATCAAGACATATATGTTTTAACACTCTCCTACAACTCTGACCCACTTACCTTCTTGGCATCCCTGAACTTGAGCCAGCCATCGATGATGGTTTGATCAGGAGTTCCCGGAACTTCAGTGACCAACTCCCAAGTCTCGGACTCGTTCTCCGACTCTCCCAGACTCCGAGCCGGGGAGTTATGTATGTCTGACATCACACTAATACACCGCAGTTCACACACTTATCTTACAGTACACTGTAATAATTCAATCAAAATAGGGTTCAATATATCACAAAAAACTATCCACTAAACACAATTTAACTTATTCGAAATTTAAAATTATGAATCCCATCCTTCGAAATCACAGTACGTAAAGTTCCGCTAATGAGAACATCATCAACCGTTAGATGAGAGAGCGCGCGAAGTTCTGTGGCAGAGGCACCCCTCTCTGTTGGGGGTTTGGGGGTTGGGGGTGGGACCTCCCATCACACAACCCCTAGTCCGACATCTGACTTGTTACTACTGATACATACCTCAGTGCATTGGGGCTTCTCACTCCACAGCACGTGGACGGTACACTTAAACAGAGGGTGGAAAATTTGGAGGTTTTCGTTCTTAGAGATCACTTAAGTTTAATTTTTTTTTACTGAAAAAAAAAACAAAGATCGATAAAATTCAACTACAGTAATTTTTTAGTTTTTGAGTCTATTAGTACAGTGAGAGACAATCTTTCTTCGACTTTTAAAATAGGTAGATTCGAACAAAAAGGTTTATTATATTTTCCTTTTAAGGCAGTTGTTATTGAATGTTTTCTTTTTTTGTAACGTGTTTCTGTATTACCTTATAAATGGGCATACAGAATCATTTTTAAATATTTTTTATGTAATCATTGTATATACAGTTCATAAAACTGTTTGTATCAATTTTAATATCAATGATTGATTTCAATTATCACGATTGTATTGACCAACGATATTTAACCGTTTGATTTTACGCATTTTTTTAGTTTAACCTCAAATTAAATAGTTTGAAAACTGTTTTTTGTTGTCCAAATAATGTTCGAGATTTTCGTTAAATCCCATTATGTAATAAGTCCTAAAGGTGCAAGGAAAATGTAATTTCATTACTAAAATTGAATAAGTACACATAAAACAGTTATTTCATATCATCTTCTGATCTATTTGAGTGCTAAATGCACCAAGCTCCTTTGACCAAGAGTGTATCAGAATTGTAAAATTACTTTCGCAAACCCTTTTGATAGAGTGTATGAGTTAAAATACTCAGTTTGAAGCTAAAAGGCTGAAAGCAAACATCTTAAGCGCTCTGTTTTGCAAACATTGTTCTGCATGAATGCGTTCACCACTGTATTGCTGTTTGTACATAAGTTGTTTGGATTGCTGAAATGTTGGTTGAGCTATTTACCACCCTTGTATACAGGGTGGATTATGGAGTATTCAGGATAATTTAATGGCATTAATAACTGTAGATTAAAGGAAACATTTATAACGTTGTACAGGATGCAACGCTGTTCTTCAGTGAAACGTTTCGGCATAGTTTCATTTTAATGGTAAAATAAACTTAAAAACTAGTAAAAATTACTTATGCAAATTACATTTTAGTACCATCAAAACATTGAAATCAATCAAGTTGCATCTGTAGCAACTGTATTACAAATTTTAAACTTGTAATGTTTTACTTCAGTCAGTATTATTGAGACCTTAACAAAATAAGTTGTTTTAACTTAAAATATGGTTTTAAAACTATAAATACCTCTAAAAGATATTTGGAAGACTTTTTTCATTATTATTCAACGATGGACATTTATTACTGTATTTAAGTGGCAAATAAGGTAATACTTTGTACTGAAATATTTAATAGTAGTAATACATTTTGAGCCTCAAGAAATTTTTATTAAAAACTACCAAATATCAATCATGAATTGGTTGAGGTGGGGACGCCACCTAGGTGCGTATTTTAAACCAAATATGAGTAAAGGATGAGTGCAGAATTTTTTGAGATGATGTGTATTGATAATACTCATCCAATCAATTGCTCAATTTATAAATATTTATTACCATTTATGTTGATGTTCTTTAATTACACGGTCAATTTTGTCCAGTTGGTTTTCGATGGTTTTCTTTTACGGTGCTATAAATATTTGTATCTAATGTTAAGCAAGAACTAACTGACCGTTCACTTGTTTTAGGTTTATGCAAAGTGATTACTGATTATCATTAAATTGTGATCTTTACATCTTCGTGAATTGATCTGTTTTACCTGTTTCAAACTCAATAGGTGCCATCAGGGTTTAATTAATCGGCATCAGAAGGGATACCACAGAAACATAATCATACAATGTTCGCCAACCTCTAAAAAAATTAAGTAATGTATCATTATTCAGATATTTCATTTACATATAGTGGATGTCCTTTTTATACTTACCCACTTCCATAAAGTTTTCTTATGTCAGTTTTGTTACTACTATTTTACATGCTATTGTGATTCTTACGTTAATATTTTGCCTACATTTCCATGGTGAGTCGCACCCTACGTTTTGTATATTCATAAACTCCTTCTATTGCATACTGGTGTTTTACTGGGTTGTATTCCAACAGTGAATGTCAACTTTTATGTTCTTTTCATTGTTGAATCCTAAATATTTAACGTCTCAGCGAGGGCTACGATCTTCTAGACCTTAACATGCCTTTATCTTTTAAGAAATCAATTGAAGATGATTGTTTGGATGTTGTAATTTAATTCTAAGACTACAAATACAACTAATTATGACGAAAAATAAACCTTAAAACTTTTAGTATGTAAACAAATAAAATAATTTAAAAAAAACAATGGAAATGGTTGCTAAAACATTGTTTTATTGAAGGGGTTATAGTGTAACAAAGAAAAGTAGGCTGCAACAGATAATGTAAGTTGTAAAAAGCTGTATTGAACGAATACCCCAAAATATATCTAAATCTAAACCAAAATATACCTACTAATGAATAACAGATTTATGAAGTAAAAAACTATTGTAACGTATACAAAATATAAACAAATTTGCATAAAATCTTTCTACCTTCAGTTTATACCTCATTATATATATTTTTTTCATACTTCAATTAGGTTTATTTCAGCATTCGCTTTGATTTATTTTCAGGCCTATGCTAAAATTGAAATAGATATTTTAAAGTTGAAATGTGATCCCTCCATCCTCCAAAAGTAGTTTCGGGAGAGTTACATAATTTTTAGTGCAAAACGTAGATGGATATAAAAGCATCTTTAAATATGTAACTAACTGATTCCAATATTCAATACAAACTCAAACCATATTAAGGCTAGTTGTTCAAGAGATACAAAGCTAAATGAACACAAAGGCCTGACATTGACAAATGTGCGGCTAGTTAAGGTTAATTCACTGCCTCCAAGAACTGATTTTAATTTTATCTTATTCTCACCTGGAATGTTTTGTATAAATACGGAATGTTTTAATATAAATATAAACTATTTACAATTCGGTCCCTACGAACACTAGGTAATATTAAATTATTAATTGTATACCGCTTTGAATGAAGTAGATTATTAGGATGCTGTTGCTGTATATATTTACTGTCTAGGACACAAACCATCATTAAATATATTTTAAAAGATCCACATTTTAATAAAACGAATTGAAATTTGGAGAAATTACTCTTACAGACTTAGTTTACAAATTAAATTGATCAGGCCAAATTAAAAAAGAACGATACGCAAATCAATAAGTTTTCGTATTTATGATTCGGGATATCATAATAGGTATATATTTTTCGCCACTGTACTCTGCTTAAATACAGTTTCCGTGCAAGGATTCACGAAGGAAACAGTTGTTTACCCCCTACAAATTGAATTTAATTACGTACTACTGTACGGGAAGCGAGCTGGTCTAGTAGTTAGAGTGCGGGCCTTCGGTCCAAGAGATCCCGGGTTCAAATTCCACCAAATCACCAATGAATTTTATCTCAGTGATAATGCAGCAACCCCTATGTCTAGCTTGAAGTAATGTGAAAAACTACCCCAGACTAGTGCCTAGCGTCCTAGGACAAAAAAATTAGGTAATAAATGTTGCCAGACACCAGCTGGTTATAGCAGATTGTAAACCTTATAAAAAATTCTTACTAGATTATATAAAGAAAGTTAGTAGGTTAAGATAAATTGCATTAACCCTTTCTGCCCTAACATGGAAGATTTTTATATTATGATACTAGGTTTGATTGACCGTATACGTAGCATAAAAAGTATCAATGTAATTAGTTTTTGAAAAGTCACCAAATTAGAGTTTTGCAAAAAGACTCTGTACAAATAATAAAGTCTAACAGTGCATTAATAGCAATGTAATTTACTATAACATGTAAAAACTTTGCTGTTCAAAACATAATACAAACACTTAAAAACATCTTAATACTAAGTTGGCAACCTAAAAAATTAAATCCGTATCATTTAATGCGTTTAATTAACCAATAAGTAAGATCATTTTTACAAACATATCATGCGAATGTTGGGTTACATGTCCAATACATTGTTAAAGTGTTGTTTTCTTATCTTCTGATAAACACTGCCAACAACAAATAATGTAAAAGAATTGCATGTTGTTAGGGTGAGATCAGTTACATACAATTTGCCACCCTTGATATATTGGACAGTCGGGAGACCGTGAAATTCGCAACCAACAATCTGCAACTTTACCAATCTTCTACTGCAGGGGTGCGACTTGGAGGCAAAGTTCATTTTATACAACCGTTAGGGAAGTTAAAAATAATAATTTACGTTTCGCTTAGTTATACTTTGTTTGGTCGTAAATATTTTGAATTATATTTTAATAGGTTGTAATAGGCATTTTTAATTGTGTTAAATAAAGTAGAAAATTTACATTTTACAAGTATTGCTTTAATGGAAAAAATAATAGCTCTTGAAGTTCATTAACATTTTTAGAACATCGATTTCCTTGTATTTATTCCATGGTAATTAGTAGGGTTTCCCAGTTAAGGGGGGTAGTCCCACCTATCCACCCCATGTTAATTTCTTCAACTTAACGTACATTTTTCTAAAAAGTATTAGAGTTAGGGAACTAACTTTGATGTTACTGAAAATAGTGTATGTTAATGAGTAATTACAGCTAGTAACTTTTTAAAATATCGATTGGGTAATCTTTTATTTCTTTTTAAAAATCAGCTGTTTTTTAA